AGACATTGAAGATGACGATTGTTGGAAGATCGAAGATATTTATTGTGGTTTGCACTGGTGTATTGAAAGTAGGTGGATAGATAGCTAGGAGAAAAGGGGGAGTCAAGAAAGGAGTACAAAGTGGTTAGAGCCCTTTGCTCCCTGCGTTGGCGTATGGGCAACCACTTTAATTGCAGCTGATGTGCAGAAACATGATCATATTTACGCAGGTTGAAAACGAATCGAATGCAGTTATTTAAAAGTCGGTCAAGCTTATTGAGTAGATCTGCATTCAGGTCGTAGTAACAAACATCACCATAGTCAATAATGGGGAATATCAATGATTGCACAAGCATCGCCTTCACGTAGGACGGGAGAAAATTTTTGAGGCGATACAGAGACCGTAACGACCCCGTGACTTTTTTGCATACGTTAGTGACCTGCGCCCGCCAACTGAGGGTGCTATCGATGTGCAGACCGAGATCTTTCACATCGTCGCTGTAAGGAATGACAGCACCGTCAAATAGTACAGGGGGAAGGATACGTTTATTGATTTTGGACAGCATCCGTGAGCTGCCGATGACTATCGCCTGGCATTTGTTTGGATTAACGGCTATCCCAAACCTATCGGACCAATTTTTGATGGCCTCAAGATCCACATATATGAAGTTATTTATGTACATTTTTGTATTTATTATGTAAGTACAATGTTTTCGAAAATTGTTTATTGTAACTCGATTTTTTTTACTGAAATACCACCCCATTAATACCTCTGTTCTTCTCACGGGAGACCCGACAACCCGTTAACTGAATTGAATTTTTTTATTTAAATTTATTGATTTTTATATGATTATAATTGGGGATCTGTCGAAAATGACCTTGCTCGGCAACTTTTTAATAACGAAACCGTTAATCATTAATCTCTACACAAGAATCGAACCCACACCCACAAGGTTTAAGGATTTAAGGATGCATCGCATCACCAGACCATTCCACATCCTCAAACCGTATCTAAATTAAACTTTTTCAAAAAATTCTCATTTAACCAGCAGTTGTAGGTACATACCCCATACCAATTAAACTGCGCTCAAATTGTTTGTGAAGTTAAAAAAATCCTAGAATCATCGTCGAATTAACAATATCCTTTTTTGAAAGTCGGTTAAAAAGAGAAGTTGTAACTGGTTTGCACTGGTCGTAATGTCTCGTTGGCTAGCTAAGAGCAGTAAACGGCTGGATATGACATCTGAATGTTTTTATAATAATTATCGTGAGACATACTAAATTAAGTAAAATCGCGGGTTACTCACGTGAATATACTGAGAAAAGCTATACTAGTTTCGAACCACAGAGTGGACTGCGCGACGTCGCCGCGGCTCCGTAGGCTACTCATGAGGAACCCCTCTGTGGTTCGAAACTAGTAGAGCTTTTCTCAGTATATTTACGTGAGTAACCCGCGATTTTTAGTTAATGAAATCTGAATCATACTATTTATTAATAGTTTGTAAGTTCGTGTGTTCGTGTGTTTGGTTTATAATTTAATCACGTTAAACTGTCAAACACCAAGCGGTCACCGGTGACCGCAACCTATTGTTCTATAATTGTGTCTACAAAACCGGTACTCGACGAGTTAAAACGACTGTAGGGACCTTGATATTTGGAGCTTCGGGAAAATAGCAACAACCTTATATGTTACCTTTGTAAACTCATCTATCTATACATAATATAATAAACCTGAAGACGTGTAAATTCTATACATTGAAAGTATTAAAGAACTTAAATATTTGTTAATAGATGGATACAGCAACCAAAAATGTGATTTAAAAATTATTGGTTGTCTGTTTGTCTGCTCTCGCCGCACGCAAAAACTACTGGTCCGATTACAATGAAACTTGGTATGATTAATCTTTGATATCCTGGGGACAATGCCAGGTAAACAAACTTAATTGTGCGGCTCGATCACTAGACCCAGATACTATACCAAACGCAAATTTTTACTATACTCTTTTATTTTTTTTTAAAAGAGTAACTCTTTTAATTTTTTTTTAAAAGAGTAACGAGTGGAGTTTCTTGCTCGTTCTTCTCCATTCGAATCTACGTTTTGGAATGAGCACCTAGCTTCACCTAGTTTCACTGACGGACTGACTGACAGACTATTATTTATTTTGTATTTGTTGACGTTTCAAAAGTACCAAACTATGGTTTAATTGAAATAAATGCTTTGACTTTGACTTTGAAATATAAGTTTGTCGAATGTTAGATTGCCCACAGTGGACTTTATTCTGTAACTGTAGGGCCGATGGTTGAAATTAGCTTGAACCGATACCTATTAAAAATATTAAAATATGCGAGTTTGTGTGTTCGTCTGTTTGTTTGTTACTCAGTCACATAAAAACGGCTGAAGGGTTTGGGATGAAATTTGGAACAGAAGTAATTTATAATTTATAGGTACTTTAACATAACATAACATCACACCTTTTTATCCTCGAAGGGGTAGGTGCACATTTCGGCACTTAATGCCACTGTACAATGTAACACCCACTTTTCACTATTTATGTTATGAGTTCCATGTAATAGGGGGTGAGCCTATTGTCATATACCGGGCACATTACCAGACTCCGTGCTACTACTATAGTACCTATATACCTAGTTGACAATTAATATAGAGGTAAATACAAAAATTTAATGACGATTCCAGTCTTCGACAGTCCATGTTCCTTTAACAAACCGTTAAGGAGCTCATAGTAAAAAAGTTAATAGTTTTGCATGCGAACAACAAGTCCGGAGTTCAATACCTGTGCAATGCAATTAATTGTCGCTGTGTTTTAAGAAATAAACTATTTTAAGTATTTGCAGTTAACTGTTTTGTTCGACTATTAAAGTTTACTTTGATCTTTGCTGCTAATTATTGTGAATATAGTTAGTTATGCGAGTAGAACTTTATCTACACTTTTTTGAAATAATGGGCGTAAAGATATTTTATATTTTATCACCCGACCACAGAATCAAAACCTAGAACATCACACTATTAACTTTTTCAAAATAATATACTGTAAGATGCAGAAGCACAATAAAGTTAAAAAAAACAACAATTGTAGTAAGACTACCCTTTATTTTTAACATTAATTATTCAACTAAAAGAGTAATGTAACCAAACTTCAAACAATCAACACATAGGATAACAAAATACACATACAGAGTGATTAGTAATTAACACCCACAAAATGACTCACGTGAAAGCTTACAAATCAACAATATGATCGTAAAACACTTAGATGTATATCCGATGATGATAGATGTATGGCCGTTGCAGGACTGTCACCCGTTTATATAGGTAAGGTGGGTAGACAGTGGGGGAACTGCTAACACGGCCTCTCCTGATGAAGAGTTGTCCTCAACTCTTATTGACCACGTCTTCCAACAGGGTTAGTCGTCGTCCAATAGAGGCATGGATGGTCCAGCTGTTTCGCCAGACGTGGATGGTCCGACGTCTGTTCCACGAGCTAGCGAAGGCAATTCATTTTCTTGAGCGGGCCGATTCATGGTGATCTGACCGCCAGCGTCAGCTTCTAAATCGTTAGTTTCGTTATCTGTGAAATATGGTTGAGATTAGCATATAGTTGAGATAGACTGGAACACAAATACTTTATTCTCTCTCCTTTCAATGATTACCAGCCACTTAATTCATACATCATCTCAAATAAATCATTCTTGATTTGTTCTCACATTCATCTCGCAGTTAGTATTAACAATTAAAATAGGCCTCTGAATTCCTGTTTACCCATAACGCGATTCATGGCGGTGGCTGATGACTGCTCCCCGGACAGGCTCGAGTAGAAGTCAGTTAAGCAGCATAACAGCGTAGCTAGGCCCGACTATGCACAGCGTGCAGATACGGACAAAAATAAGTTCCGACTATGCACTTAGTGCAGAAACGGATAATTGGCAACCTTTGCCATCCCGACTATGCACCATGTGCAGAAACGGGAATTCCGACTATGCAATTTATGCAGAAACGGA